TTCTTATCTGTGAACTGTCATATGACTTACAAACACTTAGTTTGTCTGTCACTCCTCTAGCTCCTCTACAAATATTTTTTTCAGAATTTAGTAGAACAGAGTTCTCCTGTTTTGTTCATTGGTCATGGAATAACCTTCAAAATGTAACAAAGATTTCTGCAATGGAATAATACAGTTACTTCTCTTAAAGTGGAGATGAAAAACTACATGTATAATGTCTGTATAAAATGAATAAAGTGTTAAAATTTATAGAACATATTTAACGCCATCTTCTGTCAGTACAGAACATTACAGTACAGCATCAGGTTGGTTGGTTGGTTGCGGTCAATAGACTTACATTATTATATGTTACCTTACTAATAACACAACCAATAACTCAGGGCAACATAACGAGAGTAAAAATAGAAATCAGTTCAAGGAGGTCATTTCTGTACTGCCCCGTGCTGCAACTATGACTTCTGTGTTAACAAATCAAGGATATACTGCTTCTTGATGCATGCTCAATCATCCAGGTAAGGAAAGTCTGCAATAAGTGGGCAGTCTTGTGAGAAACTGAAGACGTGACTTGGATGAATGACAAAACATTTCTCCCACATCCAGATGAACAGAATCACCTTTTTGGGAAGGATATACTGCCCATTTTCACTCTTTGTCTCTTTACCAGTAAATACACTGACACGAGAAAACTTGGTGTAAACTAGCATTTATACATGTAGTCTTTCATGCCCACTTAAAGATGGTCTTTGCATTATTTTCCTTGTTATTTTAATTCTTTTTTGATTTTTTCGCAGAATTTTTGTATTTGCTTGTGTTTTCTGAAGTTGCGCTGCATTTGACTTTTCAGGGCCACCACTGTTTCAAGTGACAATTGAATCTTTAAAACCTTATACCAAACAAATTTATACTGCTTTACCAAAACATAATTTCAGCTGCACTATAATCATTCTTATGGCATTGCAGAATCATACAAGGAATGCTTTTGTGCATGAAGTGTATGCTTTAATACAATGCTAGATTTCTGTGTATTTAGTGTAGATTCACTGTTGTTGCTGCTTAAAAACAGACTGGGACTTACATTTTGTGACAATGCAAAGGGCAATGAAGACAGACAAGAGAAAGAGACCAACTGAAGTTGAAATCTGAATTAGGGTGGCTCTACTGGGAACTGCAAAGACACCAAAACATTGGGTTAGAAACGGTTAGAAATATTGCAATAACTGTACAATTATTTCTGTTAGGGTAGACTTGCTCTAAAAGCCCAAGCACTCAACTTTTGCAAATTTTGGTTTAAAACCTTTTGAGCTCTTTTAGAGCTTTTCAGTGGCTATTTCAGTGATTGTGATTTTTTTCTAATAACAACTATTAAACAACATATCTACTGCTGTGCCAATTTACTACAGCAAATTAGTGTCACAAACATTTGTATACACAAAGTGGTATGTTTGCTTCTTCAGAGTGAGGGTAGACCATAATGGTAAATGCATGGTATTCAGGATCAGAACAGGATGTGAAAACTTTTACAAATTCTTGAAAAATCGGTGGGTTATGGCTCATGTAAAGGAAACACTATTTTAACTACACTAGAATTCTTCACCAAACGAAACACGGGAGGTTTTGAGATTTTAACGGAAACTTTTTGTTTCACCTGGAAACAAATAAAATTCTTAGGATTGAAAAAATGCTTTCAGGTTTACAATTCTTTGTTCACTGAGCTGAATAATATATTAAAGTGGATTTATCATTCATATCATTATTGTTCTTATACTTACCTGTAATTGTCTTGCAGTCAAACTTGATCTTATTGTATTCCCAGCTAACTTGGTTGCTGTGATTACACAGGATAAAGTCTTGCTGGAGGTAGACAATGATAGAGGATGAATAGTTTGTGGGTTTAAATGTCTTTTCTTTGACCTGAGAGCAGTTTTTGTCATCACATCTAAAAGAATGGTGGATGGATGAATCCACTGTGCTGCAGTTCACAGCAAGGACACAGGACTCTGAGCTGGCAGACACAGAGTCCACTGTCAGGTCAACTGGAGACACTGGATCTGAAGAGGAACAGACATGAAGAGATTTAAAACAGGTCTATGCCAGATCAATATTTCAAAAAGATTAAAAAAGAAACCTACCTTGGACTATGACTTTGTATTCAGCTACCTTTTGGTCTTGTGCCCAAACCACAAGTGCAGTATAATCTCCACTGTCACTGTGTTGTACATTCTTTAATAGCAAAGAGTAATTTTGCCTGAAGAGCTCAGCCCTTCCTTCATATTTGTCAAACACAACTGGATCATTATTAAAAACACATTTAGCTACATTGTTAGTTTTATTAAATTTCCAGAAAAAATCTGTTTTTTTGTCTAGTACAACAGATTTCCCTATATCCAGGTGTAAGTCCTTTCCATGCTCCACAAACACATATTGGAACTCTAAAAGAACAGAAAAAAAACAGAATTAAAAAAAGAACAACAACACAAATATCAGAATTATGTGCATGAAGCTACATATGGTCAAATGTAATTTACTGACAGAAGGTGATGTCAACTTAAGATCACTAAAATAATGTGAAATAGCATTTAATTCTCCTAAAACTATATCAGATTCACTTCTCTATATTCTCCTGCCCAATCTGAGCAGTGAAACGTGGCAAATGCCTCCAGTCGGTTGAGGTGGTGCCAAGCAAATTATATGGGCTTCATAGATAGAAAACCTGCTCCCACTAAAAGGGATGGTTTCACTTTCATACAGAGATGTGCTTAAATGTATTAAACTTCACAAAACATGACTATCCAGAGTTCTGGGCAGCAGGGAAAGATGTAGTCTGTTTGCTATTAGTTATTTAATGTTACTTCCACAACTGTTCTGTCACATTGTCTCTCCAAAACCTTCAGTTGTGTTTTGGGGGGAACTCCCTCATTATTTTAAACCAAACTTGTCTTGACATTTGGGATAGAAACAAAATATTTAAAATATTCACAATTACCCTCTTTTATCTGTGAAGAGCACTGTGTTAGCACTGTGAAGAAAAAAAAATCTGTACGCATCCATCTAAAAGTACTGAAATTAAATTTAAGGAAGTGATCCCTCTTCTTTTATTTTCGTCTGCGTCATGTGTCAACATAATACAGATCAACTACCTAAACTTTGCTCTCTCTGTCTTTTATCTCATCAACAGCACAGCTAAATACTGGAACATCTAACACAGGAACACAGGAGTGCAGGAAAACAAGGGAATTAACTATAAGCGATAAGTGTTTTTGGGGAGACATGAACAAATTGTGTCTTTCATGATTAAAACATAATGACAGGAAATAACACAACCTAAACAGAAATGAGCTTTATAATGCTGGGAAACAAAACATAAAATAAATCTAGAAAACAACACTCTTACTCAATTAAAATGTTGAACTTCCTCTCATTCCCTAATGACTTTATTTGCTGTAAAAATGTTACAACATACATTAGTGCTGAGGTAACACCTAGGTTTAAAGATAAATTGAGTTCACCCAGTTAGTATAAAAGTTGGTTCTTACCATTTACTTCACATGAACACAGCGATAAAAAAGCGCCAAAAAACACAATCCGCTCCATCTTGATACAGCTTCACAGCTTTGGTTTGAGAAAGCAGAAACACTCCCTGCACACGTGACAGTTTGATTCCAGTCAACTGAGTCATTTGCCAGAGTGTACTTGTTAAGTTCCTTTTCTAATACCCTATTCTCACATCCTTCGCTCGCATCTCTGGTGAAAGGGACTGAGAGGAATCAAGTACGTGCAATTTCGGAAATTACAAAGCAGGTTTGTGTGTTGATGTGGAGAACGGTCGGATTGAGAGAGACTGAAGTTCAGTTCACCTCTCATTACATCTGAGAGAGGGTGAAAAGGCTTAAAGTGCTAAATCACTCTTTTCTTTGTGTGTTTTTGCTAGTTGTAACTTTATTCTTTATAATATATAATTGGACATATAATTGGAAATCAGCTCACAGTTGGAAATTCCAGCAGAGACACCAGAGGGATTGATGGCTGCCCAGAAGGTGGACTTACAAAGTGGACTTGGATTCAGCTCCATCTCTGCTCATCATTTTTTCTTTTTTCCATTTTTTTCTGTTTCCTCTGTTTTGTTTTGTTTTGTTTTTCTAATTTTGTGGGGGCAGCATGGTGGCAAGATGGTTAGCACTGCTGCCGCACAGCAAGAAGGTCCTGAGTTCAATTCCACCATCAGGCCTTTCTGTGTGGCGTTTGCATGTTCTCCCCGTGTTTGTGCGGGTTCTCCCCGGGTACTCCAGCTTCCTCCCACAGTCCAAAGACATGCACTTTGTAGGGATAGGTTAATTGAAAAATCTAAATTGTCCATAGCTGTGAATTTGAGTGCGAATGGTTGTCTGTCCCTGTGTGTTAGCCCTTTGACAGACTGGTGACCTGTCCAGGGTGTACCCCGCCTCTTGCCCTATGACAGCTGGGATGGGCTCCTGTGACCCTGAAAAGGATAAGCGGATGGATGTTTCAAATTTTACAATGACCCTGATGAAGGCTGCAAGCGAAACGCGTTGGTCACTCCTTTATTTGTCACTGCAATGTTACACGTACATGTTACATGCAGGTCCTGTGGTACTTTGCCACATAACTTCCCCTCTCTCTGTATAGGCAGGACAAATGTATGTTTGGGATGAGCAGAGTAGTTTTTATATTAAATTTAAGGAAAGATTGTTGAAGTTTGATCCTGTAGCCTGAATCAAATCTACTGAGCTATAACTTCTGTGTTTATGCCTGTCTAGTCTGTACTATTATGAATATGAGTGAGACTTTCTGCTCCCAAGCACCAAAGCTGCTGTGAAACTGTGGGCAGCTCAGACCTAAACTATAACACCTTAATTTAGTAAGACCTGTCAAACATTCAGACTGAGCTGAAGATTCAAGAGATGTTAAAACTTTAGATCTATGAAAAGGGGAGTGGTTATCAATGCATGAACAGGGAGCTACTAAAATAAGGATGTAGCCAGTTTTTTGTTTGTTTTTTGTTAAACTACGTAACACTGATTTGTGAATAATTCAAGGATAGAAAAGGCACCTAATTTAAGGGATGAATCATATCAGACAACATACACAGCAGAAACAGTCATTTGTGCATGTGAAGGCATATGAAGGCTCAAATACATGTTTAAAGCAACCTTCAATCTTCATTAAAGAGGTTGAGGAGTAAGGATGTGGATGTGCAAGTAGAAGACAACAGATAAGGAAGATTTAGAGCAGTGCAGAGGGCAGAGGGTATGCAAAGAGTACAAAGCAGTTCTTCTCCCATTGCAATACAAAGTTGGTTACTATATGTACCAACAGAATTAGTGATTTCCAACATTATATTGCTCCTTTAGTATACTATCAAGTACACGCCAATGCTATTGTTTGGCCTGTTGATGCAAACTGATGTACTTAATTGTATTACTAGTCAACATGACAACTTTATATATAACTGTGGCCAGAAGTACATACACACACACAGGGGCGTCCACGGTTACGGTAATTTGGGGTATCCAAAAGGTGTGCATCAAATTCTGTCACTAAAGATTTATGCTATACAGTCATTCAAAGAAAATGTTAATTACAATCCAACTTTGGTGGATATAATTTGACATTACTGTCGTGAAATTGAAATGACAGGTATCAGGATATGGTATATGAGGACACAAGATGCAGAGGCTGTTGGAAGTTTAACAAAAGGCATGCTCTATATTGAGCTGATATATAAGAAAAAAATAACACATGAGGAAAAACTAGACAGAAAAACACATCCTATACAAAAACTATAAAACTCACTAAGGAACACATAGGGGGAGAAGACCAGGAGACAAGAATAACACTGGGGAACTGAACGGTACACTCTGATGTAGGACAAAGGGAGACCGAGACAAGACATACACAGGAGAGTGATGAGGGGAAGTGGAGTATAAAGGAGGAATCATGAGACGAGGAAGTAAACCTGACACAAAACAATTCAATTCAATTTTCAATTCAATTTTATTTATATAGCGCCAAATCACAACAAAAGT